ACCCCCCAGCCAGCGATCGCTGGCTGGGGGATTCTGGGAGTTGAAGTCCACAGGACTTAAAGTCGCCAAGGTTGAAAAACACTGCCCTAGATTATTGGCAAAAATCATCAAAGCAGGAAATAAAAGAAATAAAGATTATGCGAGGCCACGGAAAGAGAAGTAAAAAAGGCTCCGCCGATCTCCGTAAGACTACAGCCCCCATCTTCCTGCCAACCTCTGGGCTATCCCGGGACAGACCCAGGAGACGCAAACCCACCTTCAAAGTCCCCCGCGAGTTTCGGGGTGCAGATCCCCCCCTTCTCATGCCCCCACCCCCCTTCACCCCCACGACGCCCGAAGTTCCTAAAGAAACGCAACCAATAATAGCGGGGAGGGGGGGGGACATGTTAAGCACACCAACTTCTCAAGTCCCCCGTTCCTAACCCGGGTAAGAAAAGCGGGGAGAGGAGAAGACGAACCAGCGGCAGGAGCGCAGAATTCGCAATCGCAAGAAGCAGAAAATTGGTCTTACTTACTGTTCAAGGCTTTTGTGAGACCGCAGACACACACCAACACCACACACCAGAGGAAAAGTTCTTTGGAGGCCATGGTGTTTTTGGACAAAAAGTTATTTCGCAGCCGCGACAACAACCTTCCACCCTTCTCGGATCCCGAAAGCGAAGTGACTCCGGGAAACGGGGGAACTACGCGTAAGAGAGAGAAAGTCTTGTCTCCGGGCCAATCGGAAAAATCGAAAGAGCCGTGTCGTCACTGGTAACTAGGCACGAGGTTTCCCGCAGGGGTCAGCTCAAGGCTTAGGGACTTTCCAGCGCAGGCGCACTTCTGCCCGCCGCTACTTCCACTTTCGATTTCTCGCTGCTGGGAAGGCGCGCCTGATTTCCGAGAAAGCCAAGCTCGGCTTGCAAAAGGCGGGGGGGGGGGAGCGAGGAGGATTTGCTGCTTGCGCTGGAGATGAGAAGGCGGATTGCAGCGCCTGGGACGGGCCAAAGTGGGGGAAATATCTCGGTTGTGTCCCAAAACTGCTTTCCAACAACAGGCAAGTGGATTTTGGGGGGGTTTTCTTTGAATGCGTTTTGCTTCTCATCCAAGAAGCTTCTTCAGCTTCCCCACCGTCCAGCCAGAGCTGAAGAAGATTCTTGGATGAGAAGTGAAAAGTCTTCAAAAGAAAAACCCCAGAAAGTCCACTTGCCTCTTGAAAAGAAAAGAAAAAGCACCTTTGGAGGATGAAAAGATAAAAGACACAGTGGTACAGTGGGGAAAACACTTTGGCTAGAACATAGAATTAAAAGAAGTGGCATAGAATTAAAAGAAGTGGGAAAGGAACTGTAGATTAACAATGGCAACTTCTTATCAAGAAAAAAAAATATATGTAACGTTTTATAGATGGCATTTACCACCTGCAAGGTTAGCTAAAATGTTTAGAAATGTTTATCTAGCAAATGTTGGAAATGTAATTTTAAAAAATGGACACATTTTATCATATGTGGTGGACTTGTGTTAAAGCAAAAAAATACCCTGGAAGGTTAGCTGAAATGTTTAAAGGTATTTCTCTAGAAAATGTTGGAAATGTAATTAAAAAATGGGCACATTTTATTGTATGTGGTGGATTTGTGTTGAAGCAAAAAACAATAATAATAACCTGCAAGATTAGCTAAAACGTTTAAAAGTATTTCTCTAGCAAATGGAAAATGTAATTTAAAAAATGGGCACATTTTATCATACGTGGTGGACTTTGTGTTAAAGAAAAAAAAAACCTGCTAAAATGTTTAAAAATATTTATCTAGAAAATGTTG